ATATCATCGCCTAGATATCTCATGCTCTTGAAAAAATCTTAAATTACGCTAACAAAGCAGCACTTTGAAATTGTCGCATTTTGCAGGTGTTGTATCAAATTACATTGATGATTCATCAAAATATGCTAATGTCCTTGAAAAAATTTTTTATATTACGCTGACAAAGTAGTTGTATATTAGGAGATCTTGCACTATTTGGCAACGTCGCATTTGTATCAAATTACATTAAAGTTGTCATTTTGAAAAATCTTAAATTATGCTAACAAAGTAGCTATACTTTGATAAAATTGCAGGTGTTGTATCAAATTACATTAATGATATCATCGCTAAAACATGTTAAATGTCCTTGAAAAAAATTTCTTATATTATGCTGACAAAGTCATATTGAAACTTGCAAATTTGCGGTATCAAATTGCATTCATGTCATCACCGGATGCAAATCTAAAAATCTTTTGTTATAAAATCTAACGTTAACGTATTTTTTTATGTCATTGACTGGAAATGCTTATATAAATATCCATGAGGATTTTTTGTGAAAAGTCAATCTGTGTAAAATGGCTAACCGTAATTGTTTACCGCTCCCGCCTTTAATCAGGAACTTGGTTTTTGCAATGTTAACACGTACTAATACTTGATGTTCAAAATAACAAATAGAACATCAGGGTTACGTTTCAGTAAAATGGAAATAAGATCTGAAATTCTTACATACTCTAGGCACGTGTGTTAAATTGACTTTGAATCTTGGCGAAGATGTATATTACCGACCTGCATGTCTATTATCCATCGAATTTTGGATCTGAAGATTCTTCCTATGATTCTTCTGATAATGATGAATAAATAGGAGGAGGGAAAAAGGATAAGATTTAAAGCGGTTCGTGTGACGTTACTGCATCGAAAGACATGGATTCATACATTCAACCGTAAGTATTCTATTTATGTTTGTGAAAAATTTTTTTCTATAGATGACTTATTTGTTTGTTCTTCTCCATTACAACGCGTCTTCAATTTGTGAAGATGGCGACACTCATACTGGAGCGAAGAAGATATTAAAATGTGATAAAGTATATGTAAAAATAAATAAATAAATATGGATTAACCTGAATTAACTCTGTTCAAAATTATTTATTCTCTCTACTATTCCTTTCTATCTTTGCGTGTTACGTCATTACGCGCGATACCATTACGCGCGACCATAACTCCCCGCACTCTCTCTAAAATAATAGTTATAATTCAGTAGAATAAAAAATATTTCGTGAATAATCGCATATAATAAACGCTGAAGAAGATTACGTAAGAAGAGGATAAGCGACGCATAAGCGGAAAAAAATGGTAAGTATATATTAATATTAATGATAAGTATAGCGCGCGGTGGAGATCGCGTTCGGTGGTAGCGGCGGGGACCGGCGGCGGACCCGGAGGCGGCGGTAGGGATCGGCGATGAATCGCACCTGGTGATGGAGGGGACCAATGGCGGCGGATTGCGTCCGAAGGCGGGCCATGCCCGGAGATGACGACGAGGAGCAGCAGACCGCGTCCGGTGATAGTCGATCGCGCCCGGCGGCCATTGATCCCGCACCATGTCTTCACCGCGACGCGGACGTAAGTTTTCGCACACATCTGTTACATAATTTTCCACTACGTAATTTCCGACTACGCAATTTCCTGCACCCGGGACATCCTCGTTCCTCCGCAACGCCATCCACGCGACGTCATATCCCCTTCCCTCTGTGACGTCATTCCCCTCGCCTAGCGACATCACCTCTTGTGACGTCATCCATCTTCCCTTCCCCTAGCGACGTCATCTCATGTAATATCATATCCCTCCCTCTCTCCCTGTGACGTCACCCCCTCGCCTAGTGATGTTCAGAAATGCTTCATATATACATGCCCAAGAATGGACTTAACTTAAAAACAGACACAGATTGCTTGCATTACTTGTATGCTTCCTTATTAGACATATTAAAATAATATTAAGATTTAAATTAGTTATAGTTGGCTCTTTTATTATTATTTATTACTATTGCTTGTTTAGAAGTCCCCTTATCACTTTGTAACGTTCAATTCCAAACGACACGTTAAGATGAATTGACACGATGTTAATCCGAGGAACGATTTGTTTTAATTTATATCTTATGAAAATTGTGAATTGTTTGTAAACTTCTTATTAAAGTGAGTCACATTATGGTTATTACTGATTATTAATTATTGAACTATAATAATAATTGAACTAACAATACAATTGTAATAATTTATGTAGCGTATTGATTACTACATTTCTGTCAATCTGCGAGTGACTTACTTCCAACGAGGTATTATATTCTACTTTTTCACTGTAGATGACTCCAAAGTGAGTCGATACAATAAATGTGATACAATAAATGAAGAAAACCGCCAACACTTAAGTATTATCTGTATCTTCTAACTCACCGCTCTTACATCAGTGTCAGACTCTCATTAGCTTTGTTCTGAATTTCTAATTATTGTCTTTAAGATTGAGAATCCTTGTATTTATATTTTTATATATTTATATATTTATATAATTGTTTAAATTTTCTTGATGTTAGCTTAATTAAAAAAGGAAATTCTTTTATTCATAATTGGCATCACAAACTTACTTTTTATTTAAATTATTTTTCCAGACATCCTTTGTGTCAGAAAGTGGGAACAATCGTTGATTTAATTAATAGAGTTCTTTTTTGTCCCATCCTATTTACCATCAAGAGAATTTCAAATTAATAATTAAAATTCTTTTAAACAATAGATGTCCATTGAAACTCATATTCTCCACAATTAAAAATAGATTGTCAAAAAAATTTAAACAATAGAATGACAGTAATAACATACCTATAGACAATGGACAATAACAAAGATAAAATTAATCAGAGGTTTTTTACAATCCCTTTTATACCATTTTTATCAGAAACGATAAAAAAAATTTTTTTTTAAACCTTAATATACATGGCATATAAAGGGATTAATAATCTTAGAGAGTTCATAAAGACGTTCGTCCCAAGCTATTTCACACATATGTTGTATATAAAATTGATTGTTAAGATCATCATAGATCAGATTGTGAAGCATCATATGTGGGCCAAATAGATAGATGTTTGAAGACACGCATAAATGAATATAGAAATCACATAATTTGGAACACTATATTTCGTAATAACAGAACATAGAATTAGTTATCAGCATGATTTTGAATGGGAAAATGTCAAGATATTAGAAGAAAGGATGCTTAATAAAAGATTGATTTCGGAAATGATTCGTATAAAACAACAAAAAGTTTGAATTTACAGAATGATACTCTTTAGACTCACTATATATGAATTTGTTTACGGAATTGTGACGTTGTCTTCTCCCCTTTGTTCTTATTTTTATTTTTATTTCAATAACTACATGACTTTATTATTTTGACTCTCATTTTATCTCTGACTGTCGATATCACGAGACCTTTATGTCGAGTCACGAGAAATGCTTACATGTAATATATCTTGAAAACTAATGTGATTATAATTTTAAAAACATATGAAAAGAAGAGCATAAAAAACCACAGCACAAGTTATAGTTTGTGATATTTAATTATTATTACATTAATTAAAACATTAAACGTTTCGGCTACAATCTGGCCATCTTCAGTAATTCAATAATATTCTTAAAATTTTGTCGTGACATTATGTGTTGTTATTTAAAAAAAAAAAATAACAACACATAATGTCACGACAAAATTCTAATTGTGCAAAAGAAGTATTTGAGATTCATCGTTTAGTTTTTTGCTGTAAAACAGAATCTGGAAATTCTTGTTCTACACTTTTCGTAATATGACAATTGACGTTGTAACATTTCGTATGAAGCATCTTCACGTAGAAAAGAACACGTTTATTTAATTACAACACCTGACTGTTGAATTTAATGTCAACTAGATATAACTTTGCGTTTTAAGAATATTACTGAATTACTGAAGATGGCCGAAACGTTTAATGTTTTAATTAATGTAATAATAATTAAATATCACAAACTATAACTTATGCTGTGGTTTTTTATGCTTACATGTAAGTTAATAAAATTAAAATTCAGACAAATAATTTTAATAATTCTCTAATTTTTCGTTTTTTGTATTTCTTTTGAATGACTACATAACAAATCTAATAATAACTGATGGTTAGAAACCGAAAATAAATTCCCTAACTCGCAGTTTGGCTTTCGCAGGGGATGTGCATGACTGATCTGGCAATTCTTTATACTAATATTCTCCGAAGACGGATTCTTCAGACGGATTCACTAGTTATGACAACGTTCCTCGATATCAAGGTTGCATATATCCTTCTTGATGTTCTGATTGAAAAACTATGAAGATAGGTATTCCCCATATGATCTTTTTTTGCGACGAGGAGGAAATGCTTACGCACTACTCCCCTCATCCTCCGAGGAGGGGACGAGGGTAAGTGTGGGATTTGCATCCACTAAGGCCTGCAGAGGGGTGTCCCCGTTGTAATATGCCCCCCCCCCCCCCCCTCGCCGTGCTTTCACTCTATCCTGGGGGGAGGGGGGGCGGTATGGCCCGGGGTATTCCCTCCATCCCCTCTCCAATCCATGGGTACCTCCCGGATCGCTACCCGAGAGAGAGGGAAGTCTCTTGCTCTACCGAGCGAGGAGGGGATACCACCTCTCCCTCGCTCCACCCTATTGTGAAAGGCAGAGATCGCCTGACGAATACTCCGCTCGCAGGGCGGCCCCCATCTTCCTCCTCGCGCAGTGGGAAAAAGACACTGCACCTATCGAGGGCGGCAGGGAACGGATCCTTTCACTCAACACGCATGCCGAGGAATCGGGGGGAGGACAGTCGCCGCGAACAAGAGACTCAGTGCGACTGGTCGCAGTCCTCCCCCCGCCACCGTCATAACGCCTGCGGAGCTCTACTCGGTGCGGGACTCGTCGACGCGAAAGAGGACACTGCTGTTTGACGGGAGAGACCTGCATTCGCTCCCCCGTTTACAGTACTAATAGGGGTTCGTCCAGCGAACATTTGTCGCCCGCCAAGAGGGACCCGGGGACCACATGAGCCTTCGCGCCTTGCCCTGCCTCCCCTTTCCGAGAAGGGGGTGAGTATCCGCGCCATCCGCAGCGGTCTCGCTGCGGGCGCCCCGCCCGCACGGCTCGCACTCTCGCTCAGCGGCCTCCTTCTGCGACATTACCTCCTCGCAGAAGGAGGTCACCGCCTTCTCTCGCTCCGGAGCATTGCCTGCATCAAGTCCTAGAGTGAGATGTCCTCGCCAATCACTGCGACCAGAGCTCGGCGCGCGTCTCTCATCGAGGACATACCTCCGGATATGTTGCCCGGGTATGACCGAGTCGGCCACACTGTGCCGTGGGCTCCTTTCCTACGACACAGATACTCATCGAAGCATCCGAATACTTGTGTCATCATCCTAAAGGACAGTCCGCTCTCTATCAGTCTACCTCTGTAGGCAGGGCGCGAAGACTTCGATAGTCCGGTTGCCACAGCCTCTGAAGTCCGTTAAGCGGTCACCCAATGGCCGTACGAACGGTATCTCTCCTGGATCTTAATCGCATCCATGACACTTGATGCCGGAGCGATCCCTTTCTCCCGGACGTGGGAATATGCTTCCTTCTGCGCACCGGCCAATAAGTCAGCCAGCAGCACTCCCGCCAGGACCGTGGCCGCGGCGAGAGACACCGTCCTGTACGCGCGGATAAGCCGGAGAACAAGTTTCTTCTGTACACTTGTACTATCATGTACAAGGTCCGTCTGGCCTTAGCATTGCCCTCCGCCTCACCCGCCCACACTTGGACGCCGTACATGATACAGGACGGCACCCGCGTACATTTTGTATACTAAGTCATTCGGACCGCCCAGGTTGGGCATCAGACGGGTGAGCATGTTCGTCATTTTGCCCACCCTAGGGGCCAGCGACGTGAAATGCTCGCTGAAGTTCCATCGGCCATCAAGGCCCAGATATTTGATTATGGGAGTCACCCCGACGTGGACCGTTCTTACCAGGACCCAAGATGGAGAAGACCTTCCGCGCCTCCCGTTGTGGAAAAACATACATTCTGTCTTTTGGAGGACCTCCAGTCCTAGGTCCGTCACTGACGCGTTCTGTCGCACAACACGCATTGCCCATCGCATTCCTCCAGCTATCCCTCGCCGCGATCACTAGTGTGTCATCCGCGTAACACACGATCTCGTCTCTCGGCGGTGCGAAGAACGGCAACATACGTTAAGTCCCAAATTAAGGGCTCCAAGATGGATCCCTGAAGGATCTCGCGCGACACTGTCACCTCGCACTTACTACCGTTCCTGTCGTAAACTCTAATTTCCTCTCTCGGAAATAATCCTCAATCACGGCTGCCAGATAACAGAAGAGAGAAGAGTTTTACGTACGATACCTGCATTTAAGCTCAACTCACACAGCTCCCATGAACATGGGATTGGAATCAGCGCATCCAATCAGCGCGTCACGATTATGCCGAGACTCCCAGTGCGCTCGCGGGATGTAGGTCTCAACATGCAACTCTCTGGTTGGAGCGAGCAACTATCCACGCTCTACCAGCTATGCAGGCTGGTTTCCGAGCATGTAACGCAGCTCACTCGTTAGAGGCCCCTAGCCAGCATGTAGCTATCAAGCACTATTTGCGCGAATCCTACCCATGACTGGGCGTGGCAATTGCTGTCTCCGCGATACCGATCTCGATCATCGGTCGGATCTTCGTAGCCTAGGTTCCCAATTTGCGTCGCTTACACGCGCGACATTAGTCGGCCAGTGCTTCGGAAGCTACTCCCCGTCGGTACGTTACTCCCAAGGGACGCTTCACAGGAATCGCTTAGCAACCCGACCCCGGGCCTAACTCCGAGGCCAAGCTTTCAACCTGATCATCTTTCTCCCTGCGAAGGCTAAAATATATTGGCTTATCCATGATCCTGAGGCAATCAAATAATTAGATAGCTTCGTGCTTTATCAAAACAAGTCGACCTTATGTGGGGCCGGTAAAACTCGAACTCGGTAAATCACGAATCGAAACGCACAAGGCGTCAAATGACCGACGTCCCAGGCTACTAGATATGGGAGTATCTGGAAGTGTTTCGCCTGCCTCACACGGCCCCAGGGGAAGGTATTAAATGCATTGACGATGTCTAACGACGATACCCTCCACGACCATCCTCCTCTCCCGGCAGCTCGCATTCACCGTGGAGCGGCCCTCGCGGAAGCCATACTGTCTTTCGGAGAGATTTATGCTTCCCTCCCGGGAGAGGTGCCGGATGATGCGGATCGCGATAACCCTCTCGAACAGTTTGCCCCTCCTCGTCCAGCAGGCAGATAGGATGATAGTCTGCCGGAAAGTCCGTCCCCCTATGACCTGTTTTATATATAATGGGTATTCTTCCTATAAACCTATCATTTTATATATAATCTAATATCTAGTTGACAGGTGTGGTGCAAATACGGTGAGATCGAGAAGGTTTTTTGAGTTTTTAAAGGGCTGCCGCAGGGCAGTGTATCCTTTACTATATGCAATATATGTTGCGGACTTAAAGACTATCAATTCTCAAGAATGATTCAATATGCAGATTGATTCAATATGCAGATGACGAGTGTTTTTTCGTCAAAATCCCCATTAGAAGAAAGTTTGAGCAGAATTGAAAATGTGATGTAGAAGGTTTCTGATGTGCTGGATGGAATTGGACTTACCATGTAAAAAAACTAAATTGTGTATATTTAGTAAAGATAACAAAGCGTTGAAAATTCGGATTAGGCAATTAACACTATTAACTATCGAGAAAGACGTACTTCATCAACATCAGAGGGATAAAAATTGTTAACTCATATAAGATAAAGTTTCTCGGAATATATTAATTACATTAAAAATCGATGTATATGTCTTGCGAATTATTAAATGCATCAGTTATATATAGTGGGTTGACTCACGGCTGTTGAGAATGATCTATCATGCCCTAATTAGATCCAGACTGGAATATGGAGGATTTTTGCTACATAATCTATCCAACAAATTATCATCACAATTTGATAAAATTCAGTATCAGGCTTTGAGATCAGTTATGGAGTATGGACAGAGCACATTAACGTTATTTTGAGTGAAGCTAAGAAACTTCCTATTTCACTAAGATATTAGTATTTATACAGAAATTTTTTTACTAGGTTAGCAACGGATACGAGAAATCAACTGCTAGATGCGCTTGAAGCGCTAAGAAAGCGTATTAAAGATGCTACAATAATACACCGGATTGGTCAGTGTCTAATGTTGCTATCGTATGCGGTTGTGGAGAGTAAAAAGCATTTTCTTCTCAGTCATGATGTTGTTTGCCCGCTATGTTTTTCTGTTCCGTATGAGACATTGTTACTGTACTGCCCTAAAGATAATTTTGAAAACTTTTTGATGGACGTAGTTATGACACTAATGCCATTTTCCATGAAGTGTTTAAGGAAAAGATTAATTCAGCAATGCGTTTATTCATAGACGAGTCCCGTGCGGATTCCAATATGCTGGTTTTGGGGTGACGACGGATTGCTTGTTGAGAAATATAGATGCGTCGGTTTTGTCTCATCTTATTGTGTCGAAGCTATGGCAATTCTTACAGCCCTGGAACTGGAAGAAGTATAAATAGCCTAGGCTAGCTGTTTTCCCCGATTCTAAATCGGTTCTTAGTACGGTCGGCGCATATTTTAATCATTGTAATACTTCACATCTTATATTGAACATCAAAGTTAAAATCTTGTATCTGGTTAGAAACAAGAGCATAAAGGCTTAATGGAAAAAATTTATATGGATACCCAATCATATAGGGATTATGGGGAATGAACGGGCGGAGAGGTTAGCTAAAGATGCTATAAGGGTAAGTCAATAAGTTTTTAGAAAAACATAGTAAAACACATTTTTTTTGATCGATTCATTTTTATTTCTCAACATAGTCTCCTTTCAGTTCGATACACTTGATCCAATGATTTTTCAATTTTTTCAAACCGTCCGAATAAAATAATTTGTCCAACCCTTCAAGCCTCTGTTTCGGCGATGAGCTGCTCTCTGATGATGAATCTCTTTTCTACGAACCATTTCTTCAGGTTTGGAAACAGGAAATAGTTGCAGGAGGCTAAATCTAGGCGAATATGCTGGATGGGGAAGCAATTCGTAGCGGAATTCATTGAATTTGGCCATCGGTGCACCGGGCACGTGTGAACTCGTGCATTGTCTTGATGGAAGAGCACTTTCTTCTTCGCCAAACGGGGATATTTTTTCTTTAAAATATTGAAACGATCCAATAAGGCAGCGTAGTAATCGCTATTAACCCTTTGCTTCGACGGAAGATAATCGATATGAATTATACATGCATCCCAAAAAACTGGCCGTCACCTTTCCGGCCGATTTCACGGTCTTCGCCTTCTTCGGAACTAGTTCACTCGGTGAAGTCCATTGTTTTGACTGTTCCTTCGTCTCGGGTATGAAGTAATAGATCCATGTTTCGTCCACAGTAATGAATCGACGCAGAAATTCATCTTTTTTATGTTGAAACATCTCCAAACATTGTTTTAAAATTGTCACATGGTTGCGCTTATGGTCCACAGTGAGCAAACGCGGCATCCATCTTACCGATAGCTTTTTCATATCCAATTGTTCCTGCAAAATTGAAATCACTGTGCCATGTGATATGCCTGTGGCCTCAACAAGCTCGTGCACTTTCACTCGTCGATCAGTCAAAATAATATCGTGGATTTTATTGATGATTTCTGGCATAGTAGCCTCAATTGGACGTCCCGAACGAGGTGCATCACATGTGAATGTATAACCACGTTTAAATTCATTCATCCAATTGTATATAGTCGCAAACGCTGGTGCAGATGTGCTATGAACATTATCCAACTCGCCTTTGATTTCTTTCAGCGTTAAACCTTTCATATGTAGATGTTTGATCACTGCACGGAACTCATTTTTTTCTATTTTGCAAAAAGTACAAAGGTTATTCGCTTTAATTATATATCAATTGGACGTCCCGAACGAGGTGCATCACATGTGAATGTATAACCACGTCATTTTTTTCTATTTTGCAAAAAGTACAAAGGTTATTCGCTTTAATTATATATAGAAATGAAACCACGCTATGAATTCCGCTCAAAATTTGACAGTAATCAGTTGAAAGATACTACTTGTCAAAAAATAATGTGACATGACATGAGTGTTCTCTGACTGATTTTTTAAGAACTTATTGACTTACCCTCGTATTAGTTCTGGAAGCGATACGCTGTTAGGGATTCCGACAGCTGAATTCTCGAATCTGTGGGAGAAGTGGATGTACAATAAATTGGCTGGGTGGGCCATGAGTGAGTTGACGCGAGGTACAAATTATTGTAATAGTTATCTGTCGGAATCTAGACACTTGGTTCAGAAATTATAGCGTTAAAAGAAGGACAATCGCTTCTATCAACAAGATCAGATTATACGGCCTTGAGGGCAAGTTTATATTGATTCCGCAAAATTGATTTGTCACTGTGCGTTAGAGATGTGGAGTGAGCGAAACCTCGAATCATGTGTTGGGAGTGTATCGCTTTTACGGAACAGAGAATTGCGCTTCGAGAGTCTTTAGTCGGGAAACGGAGGTTTTTCTTCACCCTGTCGAGTATCTCATGGCAACAATAGATGAGAACATAATCTATGCTTCGAACTCATTTATTTGCTCAATTGATAAATACATATCAGGCCTTTAAGTTAGTCATATAGTTTAGTTTAATTTAATTTAGGCTTTAATTTAATGTAATTTAATTTAAATAAAAGTTTTTTCGCAATAAGTTTATTACAGTTTTTTAAGATTAATTTGGGGAATTTTGGGGGGATTATTAACATTTCAGATCAATTCCGTTAATGTCGACAACCATATCGATACGTAATTATCATTTCTGAAATTAATTCATTCGTTTGAAAAATATATATATTAGTTCAACATCTTAATACTTAGACCGTAGTGGCGCTTCGGATTTAAAGTAATGTTATTAAATAAAAGTGTTTAATTGGCGCGCTTGTACCTTGGCGAGTTTATAAAAGAAATTGAAGCCATTTGATCTCATTAAGCGTCTAAGATGTTTTGCTTACTCATAATGCGTTACTTCA